TAGGGAACAACCTTGACTTGAAGGGTACGCACAAGGACGGGTGCCTAGAGGTTGATGAGCACTTGGAAACTCGCCTGAGCTCTGAGGGGCCATGGAATTGCACACTGAAATCACCCTGCTCTGTACCCACAGACTGTCTCAACCTCCAGGCTGACCACACACCTTGCGGCCGATTAGTAAAACCACTCTGAAAACCTTGTGTTTCCACCAAAGCTGGGTACCCACACACCCAATGACCGGCAGCTTCGCTCCCAGGCACACGCCCAACAAACTCTCACACAAGACACTGGACATGCACACAGAGTTGGGCACGTCTTCACGGCATGGCCACAGTACCCTGCTGGGGCAGCCCGGATGGCTGTCAGCCAGAGGCTGGGGGTACGTGGGCCGGATGTCACCCAATGACGAAAAGCAACACTCTACCGCGACACACAGCAGCATGGACAAATCTCAGGTCTGAGAAGCCGGACCCCCGTGAGGACATGCTACGTGACTCCATCCACAGCTGTAAGAAACAGGCAAACCCCCGCTCGTGAGGGGTGTTGTGCACACCGGCCACGGAACGTGAAGGGACCCGAGGGGTGATTACCAAAGAACAGGGCTGCCAGTAGCCTCTGAGGGGGGGATGTGGCAGTGGTGGGGGGTGCTGTCAGCGCCCTGGCTCTCGACTTGGGGGTGGTGATGTGCGCTGGCTTTCTGATGACCCTTAACAACACGGGTCCGACTTCGAGGGTCCGCCTAGACACGGAGTTTCTTTGAAAGACATGGAGCAACGCTGTAAACATATTTTCTCCTCCCTGCGACTACCTCAGTGATATTTTTCCCCCTCTAGCTTACTTTATTATCCGGTATAAGACACGTGTAACGTACAAAATACGTGTTCATCCATGTGTTCTGTTATTGTAAGGCTTCCGATCAACAGTAGACTATCAGTAGTTACATTTTGGGGACTCGGCGCCTCTCACACCCACTATGTCCGAGGGGTCAACTGTACATTCACAGGTTCGGTTAGGGCACTTTTCTGTGCGTGGGTCACACTTCACAGTAAAAATGATTTTGAAGAAAACAAAAACGTTTTGCGCATGTCAGCCCTTCCCTCATCATCCCGCCCCCATGCTCCTTTGTGAAAACATTTCCTGGAGGAAACATTTCAACCGAAATGAGAAAGAAATGTATAAAAGAGGAGGAAATTGAATCCAGGAAAAGTAGGTGTAATCCTGATGTGCGGAGTGAAAAGAAATGTCCCCAGGTATGCATCACACCAAAAACGGGTACAGCTGAGAGCCGAACAGTTTTGTGGATATGTGTCGTGTACGCGCAAATGTGCCACGTGCTGAAGTCAGCATTGGCAGGTCTGGCTCCTGCTGGAGGCCCCAGGGCAGAACCCTTTCCTCCAGCTTCTAGAGGCTCCCTATGTTTCCCAGCCCCTTCCTCACATCCCACCAGCTTCTGCTTCTGTCCCTACATCTTCCGCTCTGACCATCCTGTCTCCCTCCAGTCGAGACCTTGTGACCCTGGGTCCTGCCTGGACCATCCAGGATAAGCTCCTGTGTCAGGAGTCTTCACTTGACCATGGCTGTGAGGTCTCCCCGGCTGTGGATTATTATACAGACAGGTGACGGCTGGAGAAAGCGGGTGGAGCGGAGGGAGAGAGTACAGAGCCGGACCCCAGAAGACCTGAAGACTGTGGACCAAGAGCAGGGCAGCCGGGGGACAGGCGTGTCCACATAGACACAGGGCCAGAGCAGGTGTCCCCAGGCACTGCTCAAGCCAGGGTAACAGTGGCAGGTGCCCTGCTGTTTCCTTGGTGTCTGACCCATTCCAGAGCTTCCATCTCTGTCATCCGTGTTCTGGATCCAGTAATCCCCTTGGGGGTGGGGAGGGGCCCTGGAAGGAGGAGGAGGCCGTGACCCTCAGGACCAGCCCCTCCTGAAGAGCCTGGCCCAGCCCCACGAGCTCAGGCAGCTGATGTTGTCCTGTGCAGCTGTGGCCACAGCTGTCTGCTCCAGCCCAGCCCTGGTCCCCCAGAGGCCAGCCGGGAGCTCACATGTGATCCCATGTCCTACCCTCTGGGGCTCAGTTCCCACCCCTGTCCAATGGGGCGTTTGGAGCCAGGGACGTGTGATGCTCCTTCTGGTCCTATCCTTCCTGGGTTCCAGGTGTTTACAGGGGCCCCCAAAGCTGGAACGGGGTGCTTCTCCCTGAGGGGCCTGCCCTTGTCAGCACCCCGTTTACAGCTCCCAGGACAGAGAGTGGAGGGGTGGCCTGTAAACCCAGCCACCGGGGCTTGCGTCAGGAGCCTGAAGGTTGCACAACATCTCTTGGCCGCTGGCAGGGTCTGGAAAAGTTGTTTTTCGCTGGGTGCAGCTGCAGGACCATCAGGGAAGTCGGCTTCTCCCAGCTGTAGGGGTGGGGGCAGGGCTGGGTGGCTGGCGGAGGACAGAGGGCTTGAACACCACAGAGCCCAACCCCACTGCTGCAGGCCCCAAATCAGGGGAGGGCGCCTTCCTCCCCAGGGAGCGGCAGGCATAGGCCTCGCTGGGTGCAGTAGCCCAGAGCTGGAGTCCCCAACACGGGTTGGCCAGAAAGGGCAAAGCCAAGACCACAGCCCAGGCCTGGCTGACTCCTGAGCTCAGAGACCCCCACATCCCACTTTCCACTTCCCAGATGGATAATATGAGACTAGGGGGGATGGCCCTGGTCATCCATGGGGCTGATGGCAGTGAGTGAGAGGATGGGAAGTGACATTTTGGGACACCTTGAGGGTCAGACCCTGAGTCAGGAGCCTTTATGTGACTTTTAATTCAGTGTTGACTGCAGCAAAGCAGGTGCCTTCTGACCAAGTCCCGCTCTTCTCTGGGCAGTGGCCACCCCCTTGCTGGGTCCTGCTCCTGCCCCCTTTCTTTCCTTCCCCTCCAGACTCAAGGGTTTCAGGGTAGCAGCAGTTGGGGAGGGGTGAGGCTGACAGTTTGGTTGCCACTGATGCCCTCGGAGGCCATTTTCAGGGAGCCCAGTCCATCCCAGGTGCAGACCTTGGGGCCAAGGGCCTGAAATGCCCGAGATCCCCAACAGCCAGGGACATTGGTGCCCTGCCTGCAACCCACACCCCTGCCACGTCTGAGGTCTCCTACAGCTGCAAGGGACAGTTGTGGGCTCGCCATCCGCGGTAGCTCGGGTGCCCGGGGCCCTCTGCCCCCCAGCCTGAGGGTTTTCCCCAACACAGCACAAGGTGGCTAAGCCTTGCGCAGGCCAGCCGGGTGCCAGGACCTCATTCCCCCCACAGTAGACCCGCGGCCTCGTGCTGGCCTGGGTGTGGAGAGGAGTGCTCAGTGTACATGGTAATTGGAGCCCAAGGATTGTGAAACTGGGGTATTGAACCACAGCACGGTGACCTCATTAAAAGCTGCTTGTGACAGTTCCTGGTCCTTTCCTGGGTGTGGATGCCGCGCGCCCTTTGGTCTGATTCTCCCCATCTCACTGGCCCGCCACGGGGCATACACGCGCAGCCTCACCAATGCCTGGTATGCCCATCTCCAGGGATGTCCCGTGAGTCCCTCCAGGTACCACACGGAATTCCCGCTGCTGCCACGCTAGCTGAGGCCACCTTCCAAAACTGCCCTGTGGCGGGCCCATTTAAGTCTGGACCTGTCAAGCCTCAGGCTCTCGGAGTGTGGAAGGGCATGAAGACTGGCAATTGTCCACCCCTCCCTAAGGGGAAGGTGGTCGGTGGTCACACGGCTGTCCAGAGGCTCGCTGGGGACAGACCCTGTCACCCTGCGAGGCTTAGATCAGGGGGTTCTCTATCTTCCTGGACTCAAGGGTCCAGAACCCAGGCCTGGGCCCCTCCCTCTCAGATCAGCTGGGTGCCCCCACTTGCTTCCCCGGGGGTGGGGGCGGGAGCTTGCCCTGGGCAAGTCAGAACTCTCAATGCCCCCTGCCCCCGGCTGGGTCCTGGGCAATCTGTTTTGTCTCTTCCTGCCTTGTTTCCCCATCGCTGGGTGAGGTGACCTGGAGCAGACACAGAGAGGCTTTGGGGGACACGGAGCGTGGCTTAGCTGGGGCTCGTGGCAAGCCGGGCACCTTTCCAAGCACCCCCCACCTCTTGCCTTGGGGGCGGTGCTATCTGTGTCCTGTCTACACCTGCAAGAGGGTAAGGCCAGGGCAGGAAAGCATCTTGCCTGAGACCACAGACCAGGAGAAGGTGGGGGAGCTGGCCCGATATCCCTGTGCTCAAGGTGGTTTCCCCTGGCCCTCGGCTGGCTGGTGTGTCAGTTCTCCATTCAAGAGAAGCTGTGGCTGGCAGGGGTGGGCTTCCCGGAGCACCCCTGCTGGCTAAGGACCATGTGCTTGTAAACTTTAATTTCCATACAGTAGAGAAACATACAGTACAAGCAACACGGGGAATCCATTGTACAGCAAAGCTCACATGTACACGTTGACACACACGTGCCCCCCTGCCGCTCTAGGGGTGATTCCGTGAGTCCATAGCCCCGCGCAGAGCGGCACAGGGGAGGCGAAGCCGGCTCAGTCCTTGCAACCCCACCCTCGTCAGAAGGCATCCTCTGCCCAGCGCCCTGTGGTCACCTCTGGGGGGGACAAGCAGCCTTCCAGACGGTGTCAGACACTCTGCTTCTGGCCAGTCTCTGTCCCACCTCAGAAGGTGACATCATCACCAGCCACAGGGCTTGGCTGGGAAGCCAGGGGACATGCCCTCGGGGCCTGCTCTGAGCCAGCTGCCCACATTTGATTCCCCAAGGTGGTCAGACATGGCTGCCCTCCAGGGCCTCCAGCTGGTGGATGCCACAGCCCTGGTCATTCAGTGTGGTGGGCACCATGGAGTGGGGCAGGGGCTGGGAGGCCTTCCAAGGGGAGGATGGGTTGGGGAACTGACCTGAGCAGGAGACTCGGAGGGGAGGGTGGGGTAGGAGTGGGTTGGGCATTTAGACAGAGGTTGGACAGGTGTAAAGGCAGGGCCATAGAAGGGAGGCTGGGACCTGTGGGGAGCTCCAGAGGAATTTTCGAGATATCCCGGGCACTTGGAAGGTGGCCCTCAGGAGCATCTGTACGAGGGGGACATCCGGCTGCCCCGTGGTACTGTGATCTGGAAGCCAACTTTCCCGAAGGCTGAGGTGGGTCCCTGGCCAAACCCTGCCTGTGACTCTGCCCCTGGACAGCCAGAAGGAGGCCACCGGCTCTGTTGAGGACCGTCCGTGGTCCTTCGTCCTGACCCTGTGGGAGGCAGCAGCTCTGGATGGGACCTCTGGGCTGGCACCTGTCCCAGACTGCAGGCTCTGGCACTCAGTGACGTGGGGTCCCACGCTCACAGGACCACCTCTGGCGCGATGCTGAACAGGAGGTCATCATTGCCCCTCCGCACCTCCAGCAGCAGAGGGGACTCGGTCAGGACGGCCTCCTGCAGCTCGCTCGAGTCTGACAGAGGGCGCCCGTTGACCTTGACGATGATGTCGCCATCTTGGATTCCCCCTCTGCCAATGGAGAGACACCCAGTCACCGCACATCCCTGCGAGGCCCAGACCCCACTCAGGGGATAATCTGATTGAACAGGAGCGGTTTAAGAAAAATCATTTCAACAGGTAAGAATAACATCCTGACTACAAGGTGTTTATACCAGCTGGAAACCCATGTCCTACCATAGGCTAGTGCTTTGTAAGCCTGCTTCTTCTCTACATTATGAGGGTTGGGTTCAAGTTCCGGCTGCAGCCTTTTTGGCTGGGCTGCCGCAGGGCAGGCCTTGGCCCCTTTGAGCCTTAGTTTCTACCTTACAGTCCCATGTGGGAACACGCTGCAGATTCCAAGGTCCAGGCTGCAGTGAGGGCTGACTCATTAGGCAGCCTTGGTTGGCAGCGGCCACCCTTGCCACTGAGCCCACCACTCTAGCTCTTAAGGAAGACTGGCCGTGGTCCCTCCCCGTAACTGCTGAAACCCTGAATAAGGGGACTGAGTTTGGTGGCTATTCATTGATTCACAGACCTATGTTTCAACAACTCTACTGCAGGCCAGCTGCGGACCGAGCACCTGTGCTCCAGGGCCCGCCTCTCCCCATACAACCTCTGAAGCGGCACCACAGAAAACAGAAAGAGGGGTCCAGCTTGGTGGAGGGGGCCCTGTGGGGCTGGAGGCCGGCCTGCCTGGCTCCTCTCTACCCCACACCCTGTCCTCGCCCTTCACGGACCCCCGAGCACAACCTCCAGCTCCGGGGATCTCCGTGTAGACTGCTGACTAAGTGCACCCCACCCACCATCCAGACACAGAGCTGGGGCCTGGATCAGCCATACAAGCATGAGGCACCTGCCCTCCACAGGCTGCCTCAGCTCACGGTGCTGCAGACAGTCAGCTGTTCTCTGGTACCCGGTGGTTTCAAAGAACATGGTGCTTTGTCTCATTTGATCTTGACAAAGCCTCCTCAGGGGAGGAAGAGTAGGCTAACTGCCCATTTGCAGATGGGGAAACAGGCCCAGGAAGACCCAGGTGGGCCCACTGAGCTGGTGGGAGTTGGGCTGGATTGGGGTTTGAGCTCTAGGAGGGGGGTGCTCTCCACTACTCTGTCTCTCAAGACCCAAAGGAAAGGACATGCTGGGCTAAGGAAGGATACTGCCAATTCTCTAAGGGGGTACATCATCTCTCCAGCCTGGGTGGAGAGGCTTAGGAGTGGCTTAGGCGATAGACCAGAATCCCACCTGCCATTTCTGTGCCATGTCATGTGCTGGGACGGGGCTCAAAGTCATGCAAGGTCACTGAAGCGGGCCCACCCTAGGCCTCATGCCCACGCAACTCCACCCTCCTCCTGTCCAGGGTCCCTGCTTCTCATAGGGTGGTCTACCTCTGAGAAGGTGAGTTTGGAACAACCTCTTGCACGTAAATCCCACTGCTGACCGATGGGAAGTCTGGATTGCTGGCCTTTAGTTCTTCCACCAAACTGAAAAAGAAGTTTCACAATGAATGCACTTTTTCTGAGCCTCTAAACTAACTCTGTGGCACAAAACTCTGCTGTTCTCCAACCACCCAGGCCAGAAGAGGCATCTCCTTTGGACCCTGACACTACTCTGTTTTACCACTGACCACTCTGGGTTGTCACTTGTTCTTCTCAGTGTTGCCCACTTGACATGGGCTCCTCAAGAGAAAGTTTACTGAAGGTGGTTGATTAGAAATGTGGATAGGGAAGGGTGTTGGATAGATGGGAGGGTGGGTGGAAGGAGGGATGAGAAAGAAGGAAAGGTAGAAGAATCGATGAATCAATGGATGGATGGATGGAGAGATGGATGGATGGATGGATGGACGGATGGTGTGATGGATGGATAGACAGATGGTGTGATGGGTGAATGGATGAAAAGACAGAAAGAAAGAACACATTTAATAGAAAGTTTGGTATATTGGTCTGGATTACAAATGGCTGTCAGATTTAATTTAGATTAAGAGTTGATTAAATGGGAAAAATCATCATTTTAAGGACTGTATAGTTTTGAGAGTATAATCAATTGAGCATGCCTTAGTTCTCCCCACAGCATGCAATGCTCCTCCTCCTTCTCCAAATCCTTGGACTTGACTTGGCAAGTTTTTCTCGCCTTGCTTCCCTTCCTTCTCCCTCTCTCTCCTTGCCCTCACACACTCCACCCTTTATTTTACTATCAGTGTTTCCAGCCACCCACTCTGCTACAGATGTGATACCGATGAGTAGGACACAGTTCTCACTCCCAAGGAGTTCAGATTCAAAGTTGAGGGGGGCAGGGCACAAGAGGTAATTCCATCCCCTGGGACCAGTGCAATGCTTGGAAGGGAAGCACAGCTATACAGGGGGGAAAGGTGGTACTCCTCCCACTTGAGTTTCAAGGGGAGTAGAACAGTGTTCCCCCAAAATTTGTGTCCACCGAGAACCTCAGAATGTGACTTTGTGTAGAAATACAGTCTTTAAAGTTCTATTGGTTATGGATATCTAAGTAGTGTCATTCTGACTTAGGGTGGGACCTAAATCCCAGAACTGGTGTTTTTATAAGAGAAAGAGGCTACGTGTGGATGATTGGGGTGGTGTGACTACAAGCCAAGAAACACCTGGAACCCCCAGAAGCAGGGAGAGGCAAGGAAGGATTCTCCCCACAGAGCCTCCAGTGGGAGCACAGACCTGCTGATGCCCTGATTTTGGACCACTAGCTTCCAGAATGTCAAGAGAATGGATTCCTATTGTTTAAAAAAAACACCAAGTCCGTGGTAATTTGTTATGGCAGCCAAAAAGGCTTGCTTCCTCGAGGAAGGGGCACCTGAATGGATTCCTGAGGGAACTGAAGGAACCTATTAGACAAAGTGGGGAAAGGTATTGCTGACAGAGGGCTGGCCTGAGCAGAGGCTTGGGAATCTGAGTGTGTCTGGCACACAGAAACACCCGTAGGCAGCTGGGCATAGCTGGGTGGGGTCTGGGAGAGGAGGGGAGGGATGAGGGTGGATGGGCAGCAGGGCTGCATCCTCAGACACTCACTTCGATGTGATGGTCCGCATCCGTATGCCGATGAATCGCTTCTTCCAATCTGGGAACAAAACATGACAGGACCTTGTTAGAGTCACTATGAAAGCCTCTGCGCACCCTGAGGGGCCAGGTGGGTTGGGAAACTCCCCCCCCAGGAGCAAAAAGGAGCAGGATCCATCCCATGTGGTCACAGGCCTAGAACTGTCTCTGTCCTCCAGGCTGCTGTTGAGGGGCTCGGAGATGTCCTGACTAGTCTGGTGACTTCCTGCTCACCCTTGCCCACAGGCCCCATGCAACCACAGCAGCTCCCACAGCTGCTCTGCCACTGAACCCCACACCCAAACCCCAGCAGCCAGTGGAGGTTTCCTCCCTAGCCTCCATCTCGCAGGCTCCCCAAACTTGCCTGTTCAGATATGAACTTGTTACCTTCTCCTGCCTTCCCCATAAATGATAACATTAGCCAATAATGCCCAGTGAGCACTGGCCATGTGCCAAGCCCTCCAGTTGGGAGACTTAAACACACAACTTCCCAAGCTGGCAGCTCTATCCCCTTGGCTCTGCCGGTCTGTGACTTAGAAGGTGTCTCAGCCCCAGAAATAACATTTTCCTATTTGGAACCATAAAACAAGTCTCAACACAATTAAAATGGCTTATCATGAAAACGTGCTCTCTGACCACAATGAAATTAAAGTAGAAATTGGTAATAGAAGGGTATCTAGAAAATTTCCAATAACTTAGAAATGAAATAACACACTTCTGAATACCTCATCTTCAAAGAAGAAATCAAAAAGGAAATTAGAAAGTATTTAAAACTATATAAAAATGAGAAAACAACATATCAACATTTGTGAGGTGCAGGTAAAGCAGTACATGGGGGAAATTAATAGTACCAGAGTGCCAATATCAGAGAAGAAGAAATGTCTCACATCACTGATTTCAGCTTTCACCATAAGAACTAGAAAGAGAAGACTGAATGAACCCAGTGTAAGCAGAAGAAAGGGAATAATAAAGACTAGAAATCAATGAGATAGAAAACAAATTCAAAACAGAAAATAAATGAAGGGCAGAAGCTTATTCTTGGAGATCAATAAAATCAATAAGGTTTCAGCCAGACTAATCAGCCCAAAGAAGAAAAAAGAAAAAGACAAGACAATTATCCATATCAGGATCAGGCATGGGAGAAGAGCCATCACCACAGAGCCTATGGTACTGCTAGGGTAAGAAGATGTAATTATGAAAAACTGGATGCCAACACATTTGACAACTCAGACAAAATGCACACATTTCTTGAATTTTCCAAACTGCCAAACCTCACTCAAGAAGAAGCAGATAACCACAGAAGCCCCATCTCTATTTTGTAGTTAAAAATCTTCCCACAAAGAAAACGTCAGGGCCAGGTTGTCCCACGGGAGAACTCTACCTAATGTTTAGGAAAGAAATAGGATCAGCTCTGCAGAAACTCTTCTGGAAAACTGAAAATGAGTGAATACTTCTGTGATGTTGTGATTTATAATAAGAAGTATATGTTTTGGTTTTCATTTATGGTTCCCAGCACATGGCCCCTAAAACTTCTGTAATTCCCTATGACAAGCACTCTGGGGACATCTTTTTGCTGCCAGCCCCTGAAATAGCCTCACGGTGATAAATGTGCAAAGGGTGTCTTCTGTTACTCATAACACAAGCCCCTTTCAACCACTTCCAAGTGTTTGTTACTGAGGTGATTTTGAGAAGACCTTAAGTTTAGGGCTGGTTGCCAGGAAGCCTACAATGTGATTAGGGAGTCGAACTTTCAGCCCCAACCTCCATGCCGCCTCTGGGGAAAGGTGAGGGGCTGGAGGTGAACATAATCACAAATGGCAGTGATTGAACCAAACATGCCTACACAGTGAAGCCTCCATACAACCCCAAGAGGGAGAGTCAGAGAGCTTTCAGGTTGGTGGACATGGAGGTGCTCTTTGTCCTTTCCCAGACCTACCCCGTACACCTCTCCTATTGTTCTTGAATTCTACCTCTTTACACACAAACTGACAATGTAGCAAGTAAACTGTTTCCCTGAGCTGTGTGAGCTGCTCCAGCAAATGATCAAAACCAAGGAGGGGGCTGTGGGAACCGCACATCTCCAGCTGGTGCACCAGAAGCACAGACGACAGGCTGGACTTGTGATTGGCACCTGAAGTGGGGGGCGGTCTTGTGCAACCTTAACCATGGGTTCTGACACCCTCTCCACGTAGACAGTGTCAGACTTGGGTGAAACGGTAGGGCAGACTGCTGGTACAGGGGGTCCCCTTGCATTTGGTCACCAGGATGTCAGAAGTGAAGCTATGTTATAGCAGAGAACTGAGGACAGACAAGAGGCACAGGAGGGGTGTTCTTCCTAAAAACCACCCAACCATCATCCTGTACCCAAAACTGCAAGAGAATACTAGATCAACACCCCTCATGAAGATGGCGGCAAAAAACCCTTAAACATTTTCAGCAAATCAAATCCAGCAATATATACTAATAATAATACATCACGATGGGGGAGCTTTATCCTAGGAATGCAAGGACGGTTTAACATTCAAAAATCAGCCAATGCAATTCATATTAACAGACTACAAAGGAAAGCCGTCATCTCAAAAGGTGTGGAGATGTGTCTGACAAAATCTTCTAACCCCATCTGTTCCTAGGAAAAACTATGAATTCAAGGGGACTTTTTCCATCTGAGGAAGGACACCTTCAAGAGATGTTGAGTGAGCATCCTACTTGTGGGTAAGAGTCAGACTCCAGCCAGGCAAGAACAAAAGAAAAGGTATCCAGACTGGAAAGAAAGATGCAAAACTCTTTCTGTGCACAGACTGCAGGACCATCTGTGTGCAAAATCTGACAGAACCCACAGGAATTCCTACCAGCATAAGCTGTCAATGTCATGGGATCTCTTATGACTAATTGACATACGAAAATCAACTTTACTTGTATATCCTGGTAACGAACCAATCGGAAATTGAACTTTAACATTGAACAACTGAAACAATTGAAATTGAAATCAGGAATTGACAAGCTGATTCTAAAATCCATTTGGAAATGCAAAACCAAAAAATGTTGGAGGCAGGACAAAGCGGGAGGACTGATGTCACCTGACCTGAAAACACAGCAGAGCGGTGATATTCAGGACAGACAGACAAGTGGGACAGAAAGGGCTCATTCTACTTTTGACAAAGGGGCAAAAGCAATTTAGTGGAGAAAAACACATGATGTTGGAATTGACTCTCCAACGCAGGAAAAAAAAAAGAGGGAGAACTTTGATTCATACTTCGCACTCTTAAAAAAATTAGTTCAAAATGCATCATTGTCCTAATGTGAAGACCTCAGAAAGTAAACTGCTAGAAGAAAATGTAGAAGATAGTCCTGACCTTTGGCTAGCAAAGATTTCTTAGATACAATTCCACACACATTAAAAAAAAATTGACAAAGGAGACTTCATAGAAATGGATAAAACACCCCTTTTTGAAGGCGCTATCAGGAGAATGAAAAGTTAAGCAGCAGGAGGAGACATTTCGGCTCATCTCTCTGACAAAGGCTCCCATCCAGAATGTATCTGGACCCTTCTCAAAACCTGGGAAAAACACAAACAACTCAACTTTTTAGAGAGGGCAAAAGATCTCAACTGACATTTTCACTTAGAAGATCGATGGTCGGGATCGATGGCCCCCCGAGTGAGAGGAGGCCAGCAGGGTTGGGGGTTGGGAGGGAGGGGAAGCTGCCTGCTGGCGGCTCTGCTGGGTTGGTGGCTCTGGTGTTTACCCCCAGCAGGTGCAGCCCCAGGACAGTTCCCAGCAGAGATGGGCTCATGGTCTGCCCTATATTTTGAAAGGACCCCTTGGCTGGGAAGGGTTTTTGAGGCAAAGGCAGCTGCGTAACCTGGTGCAGTGCTCCACGATGGGGCCAGGCTGGAGATGGGAATCTGGGAGTCACTCCCTAGACGGCATTTCCATCCACAGGTGGGGTGAGGTCCTCAGAGGTAGGAAAAAGACCCAGGCAGAAGCCTTGGTGCTGGCTCCTGGTCAGCATTGCCCAGAGCCCCAAGGTCACGCTTCAGAACAGGAAGGAGCCCGAGCTTCCAGTGCTTGTGCGTGAGCAGCACCCTGGCCGGCAGAGGTGCAGTCCTGCCCCCTGTAAGGCAGAGGCCATCCCGTTAGGGCCCTTGGTTGGAAGCCCACTGCACACCCCAGAACCAGCAGGCTCGGCCAGATGTGGCTTCTCCAGAAACCCCGGGCAGTGGGGCTGGGACAGGGTGGCTTGATGGAGTTTCTGGGTCAGCAGACAACTTTGCATCTCCTCCTTCACAGGGAGATCACCCAAATGTGGAGGGTCCCACGTGCTGGGCTGGGAACCTGGAGGTGGTGGGCTGGGGGGCCTGACTTTGTTTCCTGCTCCACATGCTAGGAAACCACTTTGGACTGGTGTGAGGCAACAAAGCCAGTGAACGCTTAGCACTGGTCCCGACCACTGGGCTGGGGCAAGCCGAGCTCAGGAGAGCCTCCCGCACCTTGGAGAAGGGACATTGGGCTTCCAAGCATGGTGCTGTCCCCTCACACCCCTGCCTCTGGCTGCTGCCTCCTGGTCCAGGGGAAACAATGTCGCCCGCAGGTGTCCCCAGTCTGCCTGATCCTGGAGGCCAGGAAATGTGCCTTCCAGGGCCTCCCTGCAGCTCTCCCTGGGCGCACAGGACACAGAGACCCCCAGGGCAGGAGACAAGTGATGTTTCCACTCCCCAGGTTGGATGGGACCCCACCGTTCACAGAGGGCCTGACATCCATAACCACCCAGCCCCACTGACCCAAACGCCCCCGGGGGTGAACCCCCAATCCCTCCTGGAGCCTGAAGCTGAGGTTCCCTTGGACCAGCATGGTGTCCCCTCTCACCTCCAGAGAACCCCAGAGTCCTCTGTGCCCCATAGCCCTACACAGGAACAAGAAACCCCCCTTAATGTTTCCTTGGTTTAATTTAAGGATGGCTTGTTTTAAAGAACTTTAGATTAACCTGGTTTAAGTATTTTGATGATTTTATTAAGACAAAACAGCAGAAGTGAACACCAACTTCAGAAGGGCTTTAAATTATAGATTCAGTCGTCCAGCTAAGATTTGTTGGGCTCTCTGACCAGTCCACATGTCCTGGGGGAGGAGACAGCTCTGGGGACAGGGGCTGAGTCTCCCAGCGTGTCTGCGGTGAGGTCGGCACTGACAGGGAGAGTCTCTGCCCAACAAAGGAATGGGCCCTGCTGGCCCCTGGTAGGTTCTGAGAGGGGAGAGGAAGTGAGGCAAGAAGCCAGGGGACGCTATCATCTGATTTCTAACAAACAGTCACCCAACAGCTCAGTCTATACAAAAGGCAGATCCGCCAATTTCCTGGAAGGGAGCCAAAGTCAAGGGCATCCTTATGGGGGAGGATAATTACACTAGAAAAGCTCAGTTATTAGAGAAATCACCAAGACTATGACAGGTAGGAAGGTGCAACCCTGGGTTAAGTTCTGAGCTTCCTAGCAGCCAAGGAGAAAAGATGTGGGGTTAGATGCCCCTCCCCCACCCGTCCAAGAGAAGAATCGTTCAGCTTCTGCAGGTAAGACTGGCTCTCCAGGCCATCTTCACATGAGTGACACTGATGAGCCCAATGGAGTCCTCAACAGGGGTTCTTCACATGACCAGTCCTCACGGCACTGGTCTTGGCTGCACTGGGCTCCGTGTGCTTGGCTGGTGGGATCCTGGAGGATCGGGCAAGCATGTGGAAGCCCCCTGCTCTCAGTAAACTGCTGGTGAAGGGGCTGGGAGAAGACATGGAAGCAATCTGAAGGTGGCACTAGTGGAATGGCCCAGGTCTGGACACTGGCCAGGTGGGCACGGGAGACAAAATGGTGGGAGGGAGACATTCACTTGGGCTAGGATGAAAGGCGGGAAAGTGGAGGGCACCAGGAAAGCTCCTGAGATCAGGAGACATAGGACCCTCCTCTGGAAGGCAGCTGTGACCACCAACCTTAAGAAGGTGATGGGCAGGCCCTCACTGGGGAGAGTCAGCCATGCCTGGCCTAGGCCTCCCTCAGGTGGGTGCTCATGGCCATCCAGGCCTGGCTAGGGAGAGCCGGACATCCCTACGTGGACAGGGAGATGGAGCTGAGTGGAAGATGCTTTCCAAGGATTGGGGGCTTGGGCTCCACTCCGCTGGAGGAGAGACTGTCCTCCTGGACAGGCTGCATGACCAGCAGGCTGAAAGGGGGAGTCCTTGGGGATGAGCAGAGGGGAGGGAGGTAGGAAGGAAGGAGGGAGGGGTGATGGGTGAGTGGCTGGTAGAAGGGTGGGTAAAAGGGCAGATGGGTAGATAGGTGGGTGGGTGTATGCGTGGATAGAAGGAAGGGTGGGTTGATAGGTGGATGGATGGATGGAAGGAAGGAAGGAAGGAAGGAAGGATGAGAGAGAGGGAGGAAGGAAGGAAGGGAGGGAGGGAGGAAGGAAGGAAGGAAGGAAGGAAGGA